AAAAATTAACAGACAAACAATATTTCTAAAGAACAGACACAATGAGAGCAGGAGCATTGCAGTGAATTATTTTTGAAAAGAAACAGAGTGGGAATATGGTCCCAATGCTTTTGAAACACAGATAAATAGAATGTTCATGAATGTTTCAGTAATCTGCAATGCTAAACATTGCTATTTTCTCTCAAATTAGTTCTTTCATGTAGATGCATTCTGTTCGCTATTTCTGTAGCTTTGTTTCGTAACTGTGCATATTTTACACATAAAATAACTGTTCTATATGCATCTTTCAGATGTCTTTTATCAGCGTGAAAACAAAGAAGTATCTGTTCCAAGGCCAAAGATCTGCAGTGTTTGCAGAATGTTAAGAAACAAGAGTTAGGAGTCTCCGAGGAGTCATAATTTTTCTTCTCTGTGCCAGGGTACACATTAACCCAATCACATCCGAAAAAGAAACAACACCTTTAAAGTAAATTTTGCAAAATGTAAAAAAAAATATGATTATATAATGCTGCTGTGCAGATGCCAGCTGCATAAGCTTTGAATTTCACCTTAGAAGCAAAGGATTTCTTTTGTGATATCATTGCTTGTAAAGAGTGATGTATAATATCAAAAAACCATCAGTTATGCGCCAGGTTTAAAATATCTACAAAATGCCATAACACAAAGGACTGTGTAGGCTTACTTCGTTAAAGGGTTACTCCAACCACAATGTCTACTTCAATTTTTAAAATTGATGTTATTGGTAAGAGTCAGTATGTGCAAAGTTACAGCTTGAAATATTGCAGATACAAAGATATTAGCACATATGTGGCAGGGGCTTGTAGCACCCCCAGAACACATCATTCTGTTCTGGACTGCCTAATGTCAAGTTTGTGCAAAAAATACATCTGTAGTCAGCACGCATAGTACGCTGGTGACAGACGTGGTCAGTTTCTCCCTCCTAGTCTGCGCTGCATTGCTCCATGCTAATTATTTTACTTACCTAATCACCTCGTTCCCTCCCCTGTCAATCCCTCACTCTCTAACATCACCGGCTCAGAGAACGAGCATGCACGCGGAATCGGTGAGAGAGGCCCAATCAAATGCTTCTCTTTGAAAAACATTTCATTGGACCATGCAAAAGAGCCAGCGATTTTGGAAAAGTGTGGAAAAAAGCTTCACCCGGCTAACTTTAACTATATATTTGCTTAAATTCAAAGGGAAAACCTATTGGACATTCTAAATTGAAAAAGAAGCATTTTAAAAAATGGTTGTGTGGCGGACCTTTCAGTAAGGGACTGGAGTGGCACCACCGAGGCTGTCCTTTTCCCATTGATGTATTCCATTCAGCGCACTAGTCAGTGATTATAGCTCACAGGATAGCAGTAGAGTACATCAGTGTTATAGCCTTTCCTCCCATACATTAGTCGATACTTAATGCTGGGAGAAGAACTGGTTTTAGTAAGCTCAGCATGGTAATTTATACACAGATCCCCAGCATGGGGTCCCTATTCACATTACAATGATCCTGCCCTGGTGCCTCTATGTCTGGGAGATAATTGAGTTGCTGCTCGCTAAAATAATTATTTCCCGGATACAGAGAGCACACCCCAAAAACATAATAAAACATACAGGAACTCCCACACATTATAAATCCTTGGATAGCTCTGATCCAAGCTCCCAAGTTGGCCAAATAGTGCCGTATTCATGAAGAAATGACAAAACGCCACCAGAGTAAAGTTTTCACTGGCCGCACACATGGCCCATGCCCAAAAGAGTTCCAGAAAAGTTAGAGGTGCGGCCGGTCAAATGTCGGGAGCTCCTGTGGACGAAATAAGGGGTGCTCCCCCTGGCTCCCAGGGAACAACTGTGGCACAGTCTGAGGCACCTTCCCTCCAAAAAGGGAAGTAGGGAAAAATTGGGATGAAAGTTAGGTGGGAGTTGAGGCTAGCCGCAGCTGGACCAGAGTTGCAGAAGAGTTGTGAATAAGTACCGCTGAAGTCTTTGCAGCTTCTGGACTCTGGTTATATTCTGGGAAAAGGGAAATAGTCTGTGTGGGGAATAAAACAAGTGACAAACATGATGGTGTGTTGTTCCTGGTATGGGCACAAGTGAATTAGCAAGTGAAATACTAGTAGACAAGTTACTTTGACATCTGCTTTACTAGTAATTTTACACCATTTATTATTGTACACGTATTGAAAATCTACTATAAGTTTGTTAACTTCTTTCTTTTTTTTATGAGATGCTTCATTTTCTTTTAAATGTTGTAAATTGTATCATATGTCGAGGCAAAAATAGAAAAAGGTCCAGGTATTCCAGAATACAAAAAGGCAAATTTATTGAACCCACCGCCACTCACTTTTTGTATTCTGGAGTGCCTGGACCTTTTTCTATTTTTGCCTCATCAAGTATCTGGTTCTTGGTACTGGGACCGGTCTGGCTGCACCCAGATACATATTATATGGGAATTGAGTGCATTTCCACACCTCTGCTTCTTGGTCGTAAATTAAATCACAGT